GGGTCAGAGGTTCATTACAAATATGAACGTCATTAATTTAGGGGCTCAATCTAGCTTAAGCTATGTGTTGATTTTTGCCGCTATTGTATGCCCATTTTTTGGTAAATTTCACTTTGTACTATTTAAATTACTACTCGCCTTTCTTTGTTCTTGGGAAAATATAAGAATGATAGTTCCAAGCTTTTCTTGAACCTGCTTTTGCTGTTGATGCATGCATAGACCTGGAGGAGAAAAAAAATGGTTGATGGCTGCACACGTCGACGACAATGTGCTTCGCGATCCATGCGTACACAAAGCGCCGTCCAGAAACGTCGAGTGTGCATGTACATTTTTTGTAATTCGCTCGCATTATACTGCACTGTGGGGCAATATTACACCAAAATGGCGCCTATGGCGATAACGCGATTCAGTGGAGAGTTCCCCATCTTGCGCCGCTGTGCGGCGCTTTACAATCTTTGGTTGTGGGGTTCCTGCAGACGACACATGTGCAGTACAATGTGGTGTGTGAAGTACTGTACATGTACCTGTACAATGCGTTAAACACAAGTACTGTACATGTACATGTATGTGTAGCTGGCGCAGCGGCTTTTGGGTCAAAACTCTACATGAATCATGCATGATTAATGTAAACTTGGCCCAATCAGAAGGTTTTATTCGCACTGTACTATCCGGAAGCTCGCTGCGTGACCTTTTTCATGTACTTTAAGTTTCAGTGTCAATGTCGTTTTGACCATGAACTCGTTTTACTCCTCCAGGTCAATGTTTTGACTGTTTTGACCAGATTGTTTCCCCCTGTTCCCCTTTCCCAGCACATTACGCAATGTGAACTTGAGTTCATAAATGTTGCTCGCGTCATGTTCGTGACTCGTGACTGTCAGATGGTAAGTCCCAGTCTTGTGACGGTACAGTGAACTGCAGTCTGCTCTTTGATTGTTCAGCAATGGCAGCTGCTCCGTTCGTTCTGCGTCTATCTTGCTGCCTGGCGCGTGCACTTCGGAACTGCAACTTCGTGGCAAATGTACATGTAATGCATTGATTGATGACTGATGTGCATGTGACAGCAGTTTTCCTGCCTGAACCGTGAGAATTTAATTTAACTTAAACGGTTGAGTAGCATACATGTACTTTAGGCCCTCATTTTATTATTATGAGGTTACATATATGACATTATGTTTAGGCCATGAGAATAGCATGAATAGAAGTTACACTGCCCGTATGTACATTAACTCCTAACGCCACTGCCCCCAAAATCATTATTAAAAAAATTTCATTATTTGTAAACAAAACGGACATAAAATCACAAAAATCAGGTCCGAATCTGTTAGCTGTATGGGGCAGTGTGGATCTGGGAGAGTTTCACACATTGCGGGTAGCAACCACACAGTGCTGATGAAAACAACTGCGAGAGTGCATGTACATACCAATCAAAGAAAATGTTGTGTAACCCGATCCTTGGGCTGGCTGGTGCGTGCGTAGGTCACCATGGTTGCTGTTTTCACCGGCACAGTACCTGCCATTTTGTGAGAATCCTGGATGTTTGTGGTGCCCTATAAAGCACCATATTTAGGCCCTATGCATAAGGCCATGTAAAAAAAATGAATACATGATCAACCCTGCCAAGATGCCTTCGACCCATTTTTTATATTTTTATTTGTTCCATCTATTGGATACACGTGCTGGGAAAGGGCAAAGCTCCATTCAGTTTAAGGAAAGGGTGGAGAAACTTGCTGTTTTTTTAAACACGTGGACATTTCTTACCAACAATAAAAAACCTCCCCCCACCCTCCCTTTTATGAGCAAAAAGGATGATCAGCAATTTTTTTTTTACATGGCCTAAGTTTTATCTATCTTCGGTCAGTTTAAATGGCTTTCGTCTGTCCAAGTGTGTGTTTGAGCTATGGTGTGGCCGACCCTCATGCGTTGGATTGGCTTGCACATTTGTTATGTATGTTTTACCGTGGATTTTGTTGTGATGATTGCTTTTTGACCTGATCCATGAACTGATAAAGGGCCTACATGTAGCTCATCCCTCAGCAAGGTCTTTGGTTGTACTTGTAACATTACTTGTAGTTTAGCAGTATTATACTTGAAAAGTTTCTGTACTTGGAGGTTGAAATAAAATAATGAATCCGGAAAAATGCAAAAATGCCTTGTGTTGCGGAAATTGTTTGGATGCAAATCTACAACTTCTGTTCTTACATATACGTAGGCCAATTGTAGAATACCATAAGTTCATGCATACAAAATGATATTGATTAGTGCATCCCATCATGGTATTGTTTGAATAAAACAAAATTATACACAGAAAGAGGGCAAGTGTTCGATATTCAGATGCCACTAAGGGTGGAAATTTATGTTTAATTTGAAAAACGTTCAGAAAACTTTCCCATCCCATTTAAATGTTTAAACGTTTAGCCAACACTTTATAGAAGCTTCTGCCCCCTACCTCTGTGTTGTCATATATATGCATAATTATATAGCTCAACAATGCAAATGGTCCAACCTATGTTAAAAAATGTAGATGGATGTCCGGGGATTTAAACCAAACAATGTTTATTGGTTTAGAATCCACTTTTTTCTCAAAGCTTCTCCAGTGAGAATTCGAAAAAAATGTCAGCAGAGCATAAAGTTTTAATTTACAGACTAAAACGGTTGAAATTGTCTAGAAAATGGATAAATGATCGCTGGTCACTAATGATTGGTGTTGGACATCCAATACAGACACCAAATGATTACTTTTATTGACTTAAGAAAGCTGTTCAGGGCATTATCAAAAATACGAAGCCTGAGAAAACACTGTTCACCTGAAATTTGTGGAATTTCCGTTAATGACGACAGCCACACCTGGTGGCATTGTTTTTGTTTTTGGAAATGCACATACATGTAGACAGAGAAATTTTGTTCATAGTATCCAGTTTAATTACTCAAATTAGTGCTAATTATGATTTACATATATTTGAAAGAATAAAATTCATGCCTCACTGTAACTTGAAAAGAAATTGAAAAATTAAAAGAACTAGAAGAACGACAGAGGAGGTGGTGGGAAATCAAGATATGGCCAATGAAAGTGTTTTTTTCTGAAACTGTATCACCAAACCAAAGTAATTGCAAACATTATTCCTTGTTCGAGAGACACCAACTGGCAGATTTAGCGGTAGTAGGGCATTACCCTGTAAAATGACGTTTGCAGTATAAGTGTGCAAATTATTGTGACAGAAGTTTTACTACAGCCCATCTGATTCATTTGTAGACGATGGTGTTCCTGTTGCTTCGGTGACACCTGGTGGTCAATTTTAGTTAAACTTTTCAAATGTTCATTACCAAATTATTCAAAAATGAAAAGCCCCAGGGCCTTCTCGTTTGTTTTTTTTTTTTGTTTCTGTTCTTCTGTTTTTTTAATGCATTCTAGGATAATGGGATTGATATTAAGAAATATAGTGTTCAAGCAACAATGGCTCATTTGATCTATAAATTATAAAAAGGTAAGAATCCTTGATTATTAAAAGTACAGTCCTTTTGTTCTCTTGGAGACCTTTATTGACATGTACATGTAAATCGTAAAATACATGTATGCATATTATAAATTATGCAGTATGGCTGAATTTTAGCATTAGAAAGCATGTTTCATGATGACCACATTTTATTACCTGCGTGTTCTGGTTTCTGCAGCAGTCTCAGAAAGTATTTTACTGTTGAGATCTTGGTTGCCGCATACATGTTACCATACTGTGAACTATATTCCTACGTACTGGTACATTTTATTTGTACATGTACCAGTGTACATTTAGATGTTAATCCTGAAATCCTATTTCTTGTTTTGATCAGTTGTATACTTACTTCAAACAAGTTGCTTGGGAAGATTTACAATTGTATGCTGAAAAAAGAAGGAAGAGGAACTAAACCTTTTTGTTTACAAAGGGTATAATGCTAATTGCTCACTGAAACAAATTCAAACTTGATCTCGAGGAACTTACAATGAGCATGTACATGTACTTGTGTACAAGGAAGTGGATGTTCAAAGCTTTATTGCATCACCTACACCTAACCAGCATATTGTATGTGCAGTACATACATTCTAATTGGTGAGTAGTATGCAGGTTTCATCTTTAGCCTTCTCTTTGTCAAGTTTGAGGATAATTTTGTCATCTCATTTGCTCTCATGGAACGCAGAATATTGCAACACTACATCCCATAAAGCCATTTGCACTCTTGAGATAACAAACAAGGGCATTCATAGTTAATTCTGTGGCTACATTTTGAATGACCCTTATTTTTGGGTCTGACTGAGGAAATTTAACTTGTTTATGCCGAAGATCCTGGAATATCCTACACAGAAAAAAAGGAGAAAAAAAGATAATCTGACAAAATTTTCCCTCCATAAATGGGTTTCTTTTTACCCTTTTTTTCCTGACCGACCAACCTTCCCTGAAGTTCAGAAAAAAATATGAGAACCACAAAATTATCTACTGTCACCCTAATACACAACATACATGTACACTGTACATGTCATGATGTACGTTGTACATGTTCATGTATGTAGGCCACCTATTGGAATTATTTCTGCCATTTTAAGCAGTGCATTTTGTCTCTTTATATTCAAATACATGGAAAGTGTTTCAATTTGGATGTATTACTGAAACCTTGGCATTCAATTATTCTGTACACACTATGAACATGTACATTTGTACCTTTACACTGTGAACATATTGCCTGTTATGGAAGATTGAGCTATAGTTGTGATGCATATTTATAGGGCAATTTCCAGCTGTACTGATGAAGGTGCTTGCCACCATTTACATGTACCTGTCATTAGTAGCAGTACATGTGCATGTTAACCCCTTCATGCTGGGACACGTTAAAGCACGATGTAAAAATTGAGATCCTTAGCCCGGTTTTCAGCTATTATTCTCGGCCCACACTCGAACGAACACGGTGAAAAAAGGCAGACCTTGGCTCTTGTGTATATGGTAATTAGTCTTTGTGTGTAGCCCAGAAATAAAGAGACCGAATTTACATCATAATCACCAAAAGTCCCCACTTTGAAAAGAGGCAATGGGAATGTGGAAGCTTGAGTAGAGCTGCATGCCACCGAACAATCGGCCTTTTCACCGTGTAATTCAAAGCGTGCAGAGCACGCTGGGCCACAAACCGAAAATTTGCAGTTTGGCAGGTGGCCTTCGTGGCGAAGCGAGGCTGGAATTCTTGGAGTCGGCTTTCAGAAAGAAATTCCCGTTGAGAAGGGGTTAACTGCTGTGTGGTTGAAGATCGTGCAGACAGTACGCTATACATGTATCAGAACAGTTTGCTGATGGATGTACGTGTCCATGTATACACATACATATTGGCTTGCTTCACTGCTCCAACATACAGTACTTGTACACGTATGTACATGTACGTATTCATGTGTATGCACAGTATGTACATGTATGTACTGTATAGTTGTGGCTTGTAACTTTTTGCCTTTGATTTCTTTTGTTCAGATTGTTGTGATTTTCCATTTCAACTGAGTTGTACCCGTGAGACAGATCATTCTCAAGTCAAAGCCATGGATACTGAGAGTGAACCACTGGTCCCTACCACGAATAACCCAGCTGAGCCAATGGTGAAAGGGTCTACCTCAAGTGTTTCTGGGAGTCAGAGTGTGGATCAACTCCTTCACATTCCAGCTACTGCCAGCAATCACAAGAAGAATCTGATTGTTCTCAGCCTGGCCTTCCTGTTCAACTTCACCGCTTACAGCGCGCTGCAGAATCTGCAGAGTAGCCTGCATGCAACAGCCGGGGTAGCCTCCCTGGCGGTCATCTATGGTGGGATCATCATCTCCAGTCTCTTTGCGCCTGCCCTCATCCGAGCCATCGGCACAAAATGGGCCATCGCAGTGTGCATCTTCTGTTATACCCTCTTTACCATCGCCAATTACTACCCGAGAGAGTACACTCTGATCCCAGCTGGCCTGATACTAGGACTGGCTGGTGCACCGCTGTGGATATCTCAAGGAACCTATCTCACAACCACAGCCATAAGCTACGCTGACATTAAGAACAAAGTTCCAGAGAATGTCATCAATCAGTTTAATGGCATCTTTTTCTTCTTTTTCCAAGGGAGCCAAATCACTGGTAATCTTGTTGCTTCATTGGTCCTCTACCCAAGTAGCAATATGAGTACCTTCAATAATGTCAGTCTGTGTGGCAAACACTCCTGTGGATTTAGCAATGAGTCAGATGATGAATACAATGGTTCACACATTGTACATGGAACTATTGTAACTCTGATATCGGTGTACCTGGCCTGTGGGCTCTTAAGCTGTCTCCTTGTTGGCCTGTTTCTCAGCAAGCTACATGCTGCCAATGCTGGCATCATCCAGAGTCTTCAGAGCAATATTTTGGCTACTCTCCGTCTGCTATTGAATCCTTACATACTCATGCTTCTGCCATTGTTTATTTACAGTGGCATGGAACAAGCATTTGTCTTTGGTGATTTTACCAAGGTAAATATATCAGTAGTAGTCTAATGCATTTGCACCACAGTACACTCCTATGTTCCCTCTTAAAGGCAGTGCATACGATTTGCATGCACTGCAATTTGTCAAAAATTGCCAATTTTGGGGTTTGTGATTTAGTTTGTGTTTCATTTCAAGGACCTGTTTCATTTTTTAAGTTCATTGCTTGAGGAAAATCAAGAAAACTTCTGTTCATTTTGAACACTCAAAACTCAGCTCATGCAATTTGTCTCACAAAACTTCATAGGCCACAGGACATTCCTGAGTGGCGTGGACAGTGCACGGGCGAGGTCGATCTGGAGACCAATTATGGCTCTCAAAAATGCACTTTTTCCCAATGCTTTGCGCAGTAATAGTAGTTGGCAAGTTTACCTTTCAGTTTGTGTTTCCTCCAAAAAATACCGTGTCAGACTGCAGTCACCGCGCGACCAAAACGTACATCTGTACTACATGTAGACATGCGCGATCAATCAGATTGTTTGCTTCTCACACATAGCCTCCTCCACACACCGTCAGTGCCCATCATAAACACTTTATAAGTCAACAATTATGGCAACTGTCTTGCATTTTGGGCATAAGAGTTGACTATACCATTATCTTAAGGGATGATACTGCGATTATATGTTCATGTGAGTTACATGTAAACTTCCACAGTTTCATAAAGAAACTCTATTTCAAACCAGTTCAAGTGATCTTGTAGGCTGTTATGGTTATCCATTTTATTGGTTAATAATAAGTTGGGTGTACCGAAGGCCCTTTGGCAGTTTGTACCTTATCCATTAATTTTAAAATAGACTCTTCCAACAGCTCCCACATTTTCGTTACACGCGTTAACGGTTGTGGTATTTGAACAAATTGTATTTTCCAAAGACTGTCCAGACAATTTTGGAAAATATAAAATTGACCTGTTGTATTCCCGGCAGTAAGATTTCACAGATTGTCTGACACTATTATGTCCTTAAATGTACTTTACACTAAGAATTTTTAAGATAATAATTTGGTGGAAAGGATATGTACGTGTGTAACAGGTACTGTAAGTACCACCTACTTGTATGCGCAAGCAGGGTGCTACTGCAGTTATTCTTGTCACTTGATCATTCTTTGTGATCATACAGTACTTCTGCATGGGCTTCTTGAACAATTACATGTAATCCTGGTTAAAGAGAGACGTTTGGCCAACCATTTAAACAGGATGGCTGTGAATTACCCATGGAGATTGTGAACATGGTACAACAAATGAAAATTGGCCACGTTCTCTATGTATGCTTTCTATATGGTGTATCTGCTCATTAGGACATTCTTGATATGTTTTTTGTTTGGCAACCAGAGATGAAATGACAGAGAGATTAGTGATTTGGTTGGCAAATATTGTGCACAGGGTGCCAAGTGAAATGTCCTTCCTTTACATATATATTTGTTGACTTCAGAGGAATCCAGAAAGAAATGATGTCCCCCGTTTTTGTCCGAATTGGGTCATTCATGAAACAAAATATGTACATGGTAATGATGGCACTAATAGGATATTTCGTATTTGTTCCTAGGCTTTCATCACTTGCACCAATGGCATTCACTATGTTGGATTTGTCATGATGGTCTTTGGTATCAGTGATGCCATCTGTTCTTTCCTCCTTGGTCGTCTGGAGAAGTACTCCGGTCGTATCACCATCTTCACCGCTGGTGGATTAACCCACATGACCATCATTCTAATGCTGATGTTTGTCTGGACTCCCGAGAGCAACGGACCTCAGTTGTGGGATCGGTTTGTCCTTGCAGCATTTTGGGGATTTGGTGATGCTGTATGGCAGACACAGATATCATGTAAGTATCTGGAGTAAAGATGCACTCAGGGGATGCACAAATTTCATGTACAGGTATCACCAACTGAAAAAAAACACTTTGTTTTCCAACAGTCTGATCCACTTTCGGTGAGAAGAGGTTGCTACATCCAAGTTTATTACATTTACATTGACTTCAAAAGTACGGTATTGATTTAATGCAGATCTGAATAAGTTTTCCCTAACACATGCACTTTTGATTAGATTTTTGCATGACCTCCGTTTGTCAAGTACATGTATTTTTATAATCCTGCCCGTTAAGTATTTTATCACAGTGTTTGAAAACCATACATGTACATGTTTGTCTGAAAAAGTCTGTTTTTGAGGAGGAGTCTGTTTTTAAGTAATTCAAGGACAAGCATATTTAATTGTAAACATTTTGCCTCGTCTTAACAAACCCAAGATTATGCCCATCTTTCTAATGAAATCCCTTTCAAAGTCCCTGCATTCATGTACAGTGGAATGCTGCTATAACGAACACAACAGGGTCCTTGCTAAATGTTCGGTACAGCGGTCATTCGGTATAGCAAAATTAACTGCCAAACGTTTCGTTGTTGAATAGCGCCCTCTCTTGTCTAACTGCACCCTCTTGTGATACTATGATTCGCTGTTTTTGTGATGTTTTGCCGTTGCATTCATGTTTGAGGTTTCTAGAAATGTATCTGTTAATTATTTTTGTTTTTTATTAAATCTTGAGTTACAAAATTGATATTTAGTTTATCCTAAAAGTCGTGAAGCTACCGCTCGGGATCGATCTCTGATGCATGCTGTGGCGAACCTCAGTTGACTTGCAACTGCATAATGTTCAGTAGGTTTTGTGCACAAAATATTGGAAACGAAGGACGATGTTCGGTACAGCTGAATGTTCAGTATAGCGGTGTTCGGTATAGCGACGTTCCACTGTACCTGCAACTAAACATGTGTAGCCTACATATTCAATTCTCAGTGCACAGCAAAATGAGAGTAGTAAGTCAAGGAACTATTAACTAGTCCAGGCTGTCCAAACACACGGCCAATTCAGTTAAGTACTGTGGCTTGACTGATTGCTTTGTGTTTGTTAGCTATGTTCTGATATTCATGTGCAAATACCGGCATGGACATGTATGTACATACATGTGATGCAGATTTTAGGCAAACCTCCTCAAAATTCACAGTTATGGATTCTGATACGCATAGCTGGGTGGCCCGAAATCGGACAAAGGAACTGGGCCTTATAATGCAAGACCGTACTCGAAACAAATGACCCATCTGCTGGGAGTTGCCATTGTTTGTCAGCTGGCACTGGCTGAGGTAATCTGTCATTGTTTTGAAACAGTATACCACTGTTTGCAGCATTCAGCACCCGTAGATAATCAGCTGAGACAAAAGTGCTGCAGCACTCTAGCGATCTGGCCACACGATAATTTGGCCACATTTGAAATGTCACCACTGTCATTCAGCATGCACTGGGCTAATTTCAGAAACAAAGGAAATTATGCAACATCGCATCACAATCTGGGCTCTGTTTACTGGGCTGCAGGCCTGGCTGCAATACTCGGGCGTCAGTGGAAATTGCCTGTCAGATTGGAGTAGCCACCAGACAGTCATTCATGTGTGTGTAAATGTCCATTAAATGAAGAAGAACAATTTTGAAAATGGAAAATCTTGAAAATTGCCCGGGGAACTCGTCCCGCATATATGCAAATTCCACCTGGCAGGAAGTGGTCAACCAGTAATTGACCAAACTGAACTGGATTATTGCTCATCATTGTCCTATAGTAAACTTTCATTACATATTGAACAATTACATGTACCTGTATGTGCTGTATAGTGTTTTTGCCACTTTCTAATCTGCTGATACATGTATCTGCAACTTCAGTAAATTTCCATTCTTCGCCATGAAAAGCACATTCCAAAATACCTCAGACAGTTTCCCTATTCAATAACGCGCGATGTGATGATGTATTAACATTTGATAATGCCCACTGAGATTTGATAATGCCTGCTGTGTAAAAAAAATGCTCTGGCACATGGATACAAGACAGTTTGATCCATTCGTGTTGGTTAAGAGTCTGTGTGCGACGGGGCATGCAGAATGCACCAAGTCCATATACACTGTAAGGAGATTCTTCTGGACTACTTGCACAAGAAATACATGGAAGGGGGTGCTCAGGAAAATGAAAGTAAAATTCTTTGAACAAAACCCTTTGAAATTTATTGCATGTTGAATTTTCACTCTCTGACTAAAACGGTATTTATGAATGGGAATAAATATGTACTTGTTCAGTGTAGGGATGAGTAAATTCGAATAATTCACTATTCCATTATTCGACCTTCAATTTGATTGACTATCTGAATATTCAGTCGTACTGACTGGCAGATTGTTGATGAACAACATCCTATACAAAATCAGTTGCAATTACATACACAGTTGTACATTATCCACTACCTGCCGGGGACTCTGCAATCAGAGCCGTATGGTTTATATACGTGGCCGGGGTCTCCGAACTCGGACAAAGGAAACAGGGCCCTGGAACAAAAGACCGTACTCCGAACAAAAGACCAGGCTGCTGGGCATTACCGGCATTTTTCACTCTCAAAAGTGGTGATAATCCAGCGTTGTTTTGAAACCGTATACCAGGGTTTGGGGCATTGAGAGCAAGCGGATTACCACCGGAGNACAGCACCGCTGCACGCTAATCTGGCCCCTATTGAAAAGAGGTCAGCAGTGCACTGAGTCAGGTTCGTGAACAAAAGACAGTTGTATAACACCGCACAATCTGGGCTCTGTCTACTAGGCTGCAGGCCTGGCTGAAATACTTGGCCGTCAATGAAGGTCACCTATCAACTTAGAGTAGTGCCTAAAGATTACTTCGTGCAGCTATAAACGACCGTTAAATGGAATGATGAATTTTGAAGGATTTTGAAAACAGAAAAAATGATAGTCATGCCGGCCCAGCATCATCAACGTTGAAAAATGCCCCGGCACGAAGTGGTTGTAATCACTGTAATAGGGTTGATGTTGGGTTGGGATTTGTCTTTAGGGCCTACTGCCAAAGCTAGATTGCCTTCCTTGTCTTTTATCTGTTTTGCCAGTTGCTTGTTTTGTTGTGTGTTTCAGTGATATTGGGGGGTAGTTTTTAAACCATGGTTATAGGCTAGCCTACTTTGTCAAAGTTGGTGTTCCATTTGGAAAATTTTTTCACCGTGTACTGTTAATCGCATGCTTGGACCAATCAACTTTCTTGCTGGAACTATGCATTCTAGTCTGGAAAGTCGAGTCCGTCTCATGATGTCACATTTTTGCCAAGATTTGTCTGGTGGCCTTATAGACCGATTTCCATACATTTTTGTGAAGATCCCAGGCGGAGACTAAAAACAGCGCACAGAAAATGCCAAGTTTTGCTGATTTAAGATGGTTGAAAGCTCTCATATAACATCAATTTAACCCTACATGGCCCATCCCCTTTAAACATTGGACAGCAGCCAATAAACGGTTAAGCCAAAGTGGGTGGCCCCAGTCTCAAATGAACCAGTTTAAAAGAAATTTGTATTCTGAATAATTAATAGATTTTTGGTGAAAAACATTTTAGAAAGATTTTTGGATTTCATTGGATCTTTTGGCATTGTATTACTCTCCATGTTCAGGGCCATTTTTCAAACTACAGTGTTTTGTTTCTGCTTCTTTGCATACATTTATACTGTACCATGTTTTATTGGGAACAAAACCAGACTGCAAACTGCTGTAGTCCCTGCCATTTCTTGTCGTCCATCTCTTCTACCATTCATCTTCCATTTCTTCCTTTGTCCATCATGAAATCATTAACTTATGAAACAATATATACATATTTATATGTGTCGTATTTGTTAGTCATATTTATTAATACCATTTTCATTAACAGTCTACATGTACATTCACACAATTCACTCTTACAATGTCAATAAAGTGGCCAAATATAAGGCTACTAAACTTGAACCAATTCACGGAAAAAACATGCATTTGTTTGTGTTAAGAGCTTGAGATGTACTCCAGTTTACTCTAGTTAATTTTTCTGCGTTTTGTACATGTATACAAGTATACCACCAACTTCAAAGGGGTCAATTTAATTTTCTGACGAACAGTAGTGGTGAACCCAGAAGCGAACATTTTCTCCACGTTCAGGGGCTGCAGTTGTTGCTGACTGCATGGTTCCACATCCTTCTCAGCTCTGTTTTCTCATCTGAAAAAAATCCACCACCTTTTGGATAGACATTTGACCAATCAGAGTGCTAAGATTGTCTTGAAATGTAAGAATAGAATATTACTGGAAAAATTAGGATGCAAGTTTTATCTTGGCATTTTCTGGACAGACAGTTTTGTGCCATTACATGTGGCACTCATCAGCAAAATGAAAAGAATATTATATACAAATAATCTCATATTGCACAATCTTATCTTGCATGACAAATGCACCATTGGATATAGGCTAATGCATGAACTTCTTTGGTTCCAGTTGTTATGAAACAATTATTAAAACCTAATTTGTAAAACAATAAAAATTGTTAATTTTGGTAAAACTGTTTTCTTCATTCAGCTATTTTGGGTGTCATCTTCCCCGAGAATCAAGAGCCAGCATTTTCCAACTTCCGTCTCTTCCAAGCTGTGGGTTTCTGTATCTACTTTGGGCTTTCCACTGCTGCCATAATCTGTGTCTCCCACAAGCTTATCACCATTGCAGCTGTTCTTTTCATAGGACTTCTGTTGTATTACACAGTAGAATGGAAGATACGTCAAGCCATATTATACTAGGCAACACCCCTGGCATTAGGATGCACATCACTGCTTTTTGACAATTGGTCATTTTGAGTCCTGGATGTGGTTACATTGGTTAGTTAAGGGTTGAGGGAAATTGAAGCCTTTAAAGGGTCATGAAATCCCCCCGAAAAAATGTAAAAGAAGGCTTTTTTTGTGTCATTGGAGCCAGTTAAATTGTTACATTAGAGGAGCTCTGTATTAAAACTTCAATAATTAGGTCACCAAATAGGCCATCAATTTGTGTGATCTTGTGACATCCTGTGTACATGTAACCATGACGAAACTCACTGTTGCTGTTTGGTCAGGGTTCACAAAATGTTCATGCCATTTTCCCCATGTAAAACCTTTCCAGTGGGTATAGTGTATTTACACATTTAGAAACCACAAATCGCTAGAAGTGATGGTGGTACGCTTGCTTGACAGAACTTATCACATGGATGCAAGCTGTAACAAGAAATTTGAGTGACTGGAAATATAAAAATGAGAGCATATTGCCAAAGGTAAGTGCTTTGTCACAAGTGCAAATATGTGTCATGCTTATGGCATACTGTTTATTCTGACCAAAAGCATTTGCAGAAAGGAAAGTAAGTTTGTACTTCACTGCTGCATACATATACATGTATGTGTAGCTATTACTGGGATATGGGTGTTTGACAAACTAACAAAACAAATATTCACCAATGTTATATAGCGCATGGCTTTTGTTAATGCTTTAGGGCAAACTGTACATATATATAGTCATTCTAGTGTTTCACAATCTCATGCTTTATAAAGGCTTTTGTTTTATGATGCTGTATGAATTGTCTGAAGTTGTGACAAGCTTCTAGCCTGTTGATTCCCAGTTGAGAAAAAACATTGAAGTCTTATTTTTGCACATGAGAGACAATATGAGAACAATATACATGTATAAAAGCCACAATTAGGTAAGGACGTCTCTCCACAAGTAGCATATTTGAATTGCTTCCCCTGCACTCACTTGTGCAAGTGTGACTAAATTCAGGTTGGCACTTATGTGACATCTCGAGTTTACTCACAGACCTGGCCCAATTGACAAACCCCTCATGTATTGAAGATAGTTACTTGAAGTATCCCACAGTTCAATGGGAAAGCATGGTGGCTAAGTCAATTCTGCAAAGGACAGTTGACTAAGTTGTAATTCAGGATAAAAGTTGAATGTAGTGACAAATCGGTCCAAGTCAACTAAGTTCTGTGAAAGAAAGGCAAGAAATATATTTGATGTCAGTTACTTTCTGTCACTGAGATTAATTTTACAAATAACCGATGTAGTGTATGACTGCTTGACCTTGTCAGGACACTTTAGGTAATCTGAAATTGTTTATTTATTATTGCATATTGTGCATGTTCACCTATGACAACACTACAGGTATGTAAATAGCCTATGTGAGGCAAGACAGACACAATAGATGGGTACTATTTGGTTTGAGTGAAATCATTTGTGTTTACTCCATATTTTCCTGAACCAAATGGCACCCTTCTGTGTCTGCATACTCCAAAAAGCTAACTGAACACATCATGAACAAGTATGCCCCCATCCTACTGGAGACAACACACAGAGAATGGGAGCAATCAAACACCAATATGCTACAGCTATGGAAAGGCATTACTTGTACCTGTACATACTCCATGCAACATGTTAATGAACATCTGCATGTTTGTGGTGTGTCACTAGTTTTGCCCAGGATCCACTTCAAGTTGGACAAGAGAGGGCTTTGTTTTTAAATGGCAACTATCTCCTTTAGTTGGAACTCAGCACATGCGCGTACAAGCTCCTATGCGTTTGGTGCTGGGCAAGTGTGACCAGTATGTGAATGTACAGTGTTCTCTTGCCCGTGGAAGAGCTTTCCACTAACCTGTCTCTTACTTGCCTGTGAGGGTGCATTTCAGTTCAAGGAGCATAGTAGAAACATGGGATTACATGTACAGTTCATGCACATGATGGAAGTCCAGCTTAAGTTCCATACATGTACATGTAGCTATGTTGACTGAATACCTTTGATGCATTGGAACTTACATTGTGTTTGGACCTATACCAACCAATTACACTTGGACCACACTTGGACTCCTGTCACAGGTTGTCATCAGAATTTTTCGTCTTTGTTCATGCTGGGATTTTTCACCATATCTGTTCTCAAAATACTTAGATTTTTACCATTTTTAAAAGCCTATGTTGATTGAAGCTGATATGTACATGTAGGGTAGATTCTATTTTATCCGAGTGTGCTTGGTACATGTACTGTGCATGTAGGTTTGGGAAAAGATTCACTTAGAGCTTTGTATAGAATCATATTGATGAAAATGGATGGATCAGATTAACTTTTTAAACAAAAGTTTTTTGTAACAACCTAGTCTGTGAATTAATGCAGTTGGATGTGAAAACTACACTATCATACTTAAGTGTATACAAGCAATGAATGAATTTTTTCATGTTAATATCATATTTTTTTATCTGTATCTATATTTGAGGATGTGTGCTCTTTTCAGTATCTCATTCATCAATTTTTGTACACAGAATAACTTATTTTTCCAAAACATTTAACTAAGTGGATGCAGTTGTTTTTACATGGTAGTTTATTCTACCATACTACATTGAAGACAGAATTGATACATATATATGTAGATTTTTGAGTGTGAATTTTGTAAAGCCAATAAAAGAGAAGTTAAAGCTTTTTAGGTAAAAGCAGGCTTGTTAACACAGTTAAAATCTAATATGTTTTAGGGATTATTAAAAAGTAGTTATGGATTAAGAATTGCACTTTCATGTTCTTTGCATTAACAGTACAACAAATATGATCAAATTGCTGATTTTTTTTCCTCTATATAAACATTCAAATTGGAGGTGGTTTAAATCACATGGTCTGGGCTAACCTCAACCAATCTCAAGCCAAGTTTGTCATAGTTGTCAATTTTGTTAACGTTTTAAGTTTCACCTGTGAAATATTTGGTAGCTTGGAGTGCTATCTTTTGATTTTTCACTTGTATTATTGGCAATTATTGGTCATGACATTCTTTAAGTACACAGGGTTCCAATAATTGTTTGAATTTGAGAGATGATTGATGTACTGATCTTCCTTGCATGAAACAGAGTAAAGGCAGTGTAAGAAGTACGTGTAATTTGGGACTCAAACTATCTGATTTAAAATACTTTCACATATATACTGGTACATAAATTGGATGAATTCAGTTCTTTTCAGAATATAAAATTTATCTTGCAGCTGATAAATAATTCCTTCCAGTCCTTGGCCTGAACAGTTACATGTATATCAAGGAATTTTTGTTGGAAAACAATTAAATCATTTAAAGGCAGATAAGTTTTCAGCAAGGTAAACACTAACAGAAATCACTATGGAACAATGAGGCTTAACCATCAGCGGCAGAAGGGGGGGGGGAACCCCGGCCATTAGATTGAAAAGAATATAATTATGAAGTTACAGTGTACCTCCAAATGGCTTGTAGGCCTATAAAGTTGGGGGGGAGGGAATAACTACCTTTTGAAAGGTGCTGGTAGGGCAACCCTCCCCCCCATTCCACCTCTGGTGGGCTTCACATTCATAAAGAATAAGTTTAACCCTTTTCCAGTAGACTGATACTTTATCCTGTTATACACTCAAGCATAATCCTTAATGTTTGCAATGCATAGTAGTACTGATTACATGTACAATGTACGCAGTCATTTTTAGGACCTATTTTGGTAAAAGAGCTCGTGTAATGAGGTCATTTTAAAGTATGCTTTTTGGATTGTTGTTTTCATGGATCCAGTGCCATATTTATTTGTTTATGACCACAGTGGTGTTATTACATGCATGTTAGTCAAAGTGTCAGTCCGCAGTTGCTTAAAAATCCATACATTTCCTTTTTTTAATGTTTGTGATCAGGTCTGTGATGTTTGGCACTAGTTTGTCGTGTTTGTTGATTTAGTTCAGGAAAGCAAACATGATGTGCAAATGTTTTGAATGAGCAGCATTTGAGATTCAGTGAATCTCAAATCAGTTGTAAACAACTGAAACATGTAGCTTGATACTAGTTAATCCAATTAAGGGCCAAGAGCCACAGAATCCAACCCCTTAACATTTTCTCCAATATTGTCATAGTGCTTTTTTTCCTAATGCGTGGAGCCTTGAAGAATTATTTTCAGTAACATCTTGTGATCATTTTCACACCAATTTTGTGAAAAGTGAGTGTCTTGATATACATGCAAAGTTTCTAAATGATTGGGCAGGTGACAGCTGAGATCTTAGGGTGGAATCCCATTGAGATTTCCAAACTAATCCAGCACTTTGAAGGTTAACAACCTTAACAAGACATTATACACTGAAATTTTAGTCTTTGAAATAAATTATAATTAATGTACTCTACATTCATGCCCAATTTCTACACACATTTTACATAGGAAACAAATTGGTAAATCTTTGCACACCTAATCGATGGTAATCTTGTTTTACAAAATTCTTGGTTTCTGGCCCAGGTTCTGTATTGCTGTTTTGAAGTGGTAGTCTTCTGTTGTATAAGTACTTATTTTTTTCCAGACACTGTCATGATTATTCTGTTTGGATTAGAAGTGATGGCTCTATCCCATTCAGAGACACTCTCTCTTATAGATTGATTTTACAAATAAACTTTGGGTGCTTTGGAAAAACATGTTTATTGGAGGGTGTGTCACTGTGTGATTTATTTCTACATGGGGACTGTAGTGGAGCCTCGGGAGGTACAATTTGGAAGAAATTAAACTAGACCAGAACCACATTTACCCAAACAATGGCTTGGGTCAAGTTTGACTGAGCAGCAACGTTAACGTTACAGTATGGCTTGGCCTAACCATGATTATGCAGAGCTTTCTCAATTGTTCTGAAGGGTTAGAACCATTCAAGCACTACGGAACGGAACAGCATTATCTGCTGGGTCCCAGCCACTGTGGCTCAGTAGGTTGGACAAAATCTCCTTGGGCCTCTTTACGGCGTATTGCTGTTAATGTGTACATGTATGTGGGGAGGGTCTGGTTGCACTGAGTGTGCGACAAAAATGGTGGCATTAGCCGATTCGAATTAACACTAACTTGAAATGAACATCAAATGCACTGAATTCACCCTCAGACCATCACAAGCATTGTCATGATTCCATAATTATCTCCACAACATTGATCTTCATTATAACGCAGATCAATGCTCCACCCGGACCATTCATGCACATGTACAAAGCACACTGCCACAGGCTAGTGAGCCATAGCACATCAGTAAAGAACTTGAATATCTCCCCATCTTGTTTTGTTCCGGTTTTCATGGATCATTGTTGCATATCTCAACAGGATTGAATAACTAAAGAATACAAATCCCAAATGATTTTAAGGTGTGTCCAGTCCTAAATAGACACTTCATGTTTAAAAAAATAATCTATTTTGTACAGATATCCTGCGAAATGCTATGGTGCGTCGCATACGATGCACTCCTTCAAACATAAACACAATACACACATAATGCCTTAAAATCGCACCCCTAAAAAGGCCTTTAGATTCTCTTCACAGTAGGACTTGCTTACCTCAATATCACACTTTGCTGTTACACAATACAAAAATAGATATTGAATATTCCCTTCTTTTAATCGTACATATGATGCAGCCATATCTTCACATTCTCAACTTGTGTTTTCTAATAACGACACCCCCTGAAGTTACGGCATGGTACCAGTGATGGAGACTCAAGTTGAGACACAGACTCGACTCGGAGTCCATTTTTTGGACACGTGACTCAGCTCACAGTGGACTTGAGTTGGCTCCGAGTCGGACTCGGCTAGTGGCTGACTCGGACTACTTACTGGACTCGAATCAAGTCCATTCAAAACTGTTTATAAAATTCAGAAATTTCATTGGAAAAACTGCCCGCATCTGTTGTCCATAATTGTTTGGTTACGACCCACCATTTTCTAGGATAATGGTAAGAACATGTAAAAGCGTATATGTAGCAAGAAATGAGACAGATCGAGGCCAGGGTACCCCCCTTACACGTCCAACCCCTATACACACTCTGGACTATTGTTACCTAAGACCAAGTAGCTCTTGAAGGTTTGCATGGTGGAACACGATAAGGTAGAGGGTGTGCGGATACACCATATGGAAAGTACATGTATGTGCGGTTCTGAAAAGAACCAGTTACTCAAAGTTTCAGACAGTGAGTGCTGTTTCCATCTTCTGTCAGGGCTGATGCTGCTGCTTATATGCTGTGGGTGATCACTGAGGAATGGAAATTGGAATCCAAGCTACCTGGGTACTGGGGCATGAAGCAGGAACTGTGTTGAGGGATGCTATGGCTGCTCACTGGCGCCTCAGTGATCACCCACAGACTATAATTAGTAGTACAGTGGGATCGCATCAGTCCTGAAGATGGACAGAGCACTCACTGTCCGAAACGTCGAGTAACCAGTTCTTTTCAAAACCACACATACTCAAAGGGATATTTTCCATATGGTGTATCCGCGAACCCTAACACATCCCCCTAGATCATCTGAAAAGAATTCCTCAGATTCCAGTGTAACCATGACCAACACAAATTTAAGCAGAGGGGGTTCTCTCCGTCTCATATCTTGCTTCATATGAAAAATAAAAGTGCGAAACAGATTTTTCATTTCATTTCTTATTTCGCAGGTCAAATTTACAATGGATAAAACAAAATAAGAAGAGAAAAAACATTACATACAGTATAGACGTAAATAAGACAAAGTTAAAAATATAACATCAAACCTTATAAAAAGACCAAGACCCAAACACCAAAACAGTTGCGTACCCTGCGGGATTACTACAAAGTGAACTAAATCACTATCAAGTAGTTCTCCCATAGCATGACTAAAAACCCAAAACTGCAAAATCACAAACATTTTAGCAGACTCTCTTTAAAACACATAATCCAAGGACGAAGAGAGTAACCCTACAAGGTATTACAAAATCCTTAAGTTTATGTGATAATTCTATGTATTGCACCATATGAACAAGAAAAGCAAGATTTCACAGAGTTCTAGTTGCCTGTGTTGTGCAGTGCAGCGTAAACACGTTTTCATAAAGGATTAACTTGCTCACATTGTGGAGGAAGGAATTAACACATGGAGGAATTCCGCCATGCACACATCGTGGAGGAAGGAACACATGGAGGAATTCCGCCATGCTCACATTTAGTCCTCTTCTTGTGACCTGTACCCATTATCAGTGCACAACAAACTGACCATAAACGCTTTCATACACATTTGGCCGATACTTCATTAATGATCATTTTTAAATCTGTAAATATAGAATGTTCGGATTAAATTCGGTATCCAAAATGTCTGTTCATCATCTTGGAATCACTGGGTAGGTGAAAAATCTAGGACTTTCATAAAGATTTTATGCACCTGACTAAATGAAGCCGCATAAAGAAATATACAAAGTTGTCTGGGTCCTATCCACCTTTTTATACACAAGTTCATACATGTATGTACTGCCCATGCTGCGCACATGCACGAATCAGCTTAATGCCTCGCGCGTCCAGTCTTGCCGTCATCAAAACACGTCGCTGTCACATCACAGACATGACAGATGATCCGTGTTGCTTCACTACAAGCCATCAAGAAGCAGCCGGCCTTCGAAAAGCAAAATGCAAATTCTTTGGTAAGCTGTGTACAGAGAAAATAAGAACAACTTTGTGCGGCACCTTCGGAGCAAAATCCTTCAAAATCAGTACAGTAGGCGTAGGCTTAGTAATAGTAGTAGTACTACTGCTAGTAGTAGCTAGTAGTCTAGACCTAGTACCTACATGTAGGGCACTGGTACTGGTCAACTTACCTGTAGCATGACATGCATATGATGACTAGGTCCGTAATCAACTCGTTCCGAGTCATCTCGGAAACATTGTGCACATTTTCTGTATTTTCCTAAAATAGCCAATAACCAGGCCTTTATGACCAAACTGACAGAAACAGAGTAGGCCTAAACTACATGTATAACCGACGAAGTCGTGTCCAACATGTCTAAGTTAAACATGTAATCAAATTTTTCTAAAGGGACCAGGGACTCGAACCGATTTGGTTATGGACTGAGTTGACTGTAAACCAAAGGACATAGACCTGTTAACGTACGTGGCTTTTCACAGTCATGGCTATGCTCCTGATTCATTTCAAATGTTTTCCAAGTACATGTAGGCATCTCCTGCAAGAGAGTGTCTGTTTGAGTCCCAGATTGGCAGATATCCTATGCAACTAAAAATTCTTGGATATAGTTACGTGTACTTATGTAAGTACTGATCCTGCTCGTCAAATTTCAGGCTGAAACAGAAACTTCTGAATGTATCATTCGCGTGGCATAGGCCTAGTGGTGTATACCATGTAGGCCTACATGTACATGTACCATGTTGTTCTGTTACCAAATGACCTTGATGTCCTTCAATTCAAACAAAATCTTTGGTGTGTCCGGGATTTGGGCCCAGGAGGGCAATATTAGGAACTCAGACTCAGCACGGACTCAACAATATGGGCTCGGACTTGAGCAAGAATCGGACTTGGCTCAGACTCGGACTTTGAAGCCTTGTGGATGTTACGCCCCAACTACAGCATCAGTCCCAACTAAGTTTAATTCTGTAAATGCTGCGTACAAAACTGCAGAATTGCACTTTTCTCCATCATCATGTCCATGTATCATGTCCATGTATCATGTACATGTATCATGTACATGTATATAATGCAGGTTATGCAGTTATTTTTTGGCAGGATATTTCTCTTTCAGGTCAGGTTTTGTAACCTGATATGCTAGCCAATATTTTCCAAAGGCTTTTTCCAAGTTAAATGAAAAATTATCAAACTTGCATTCTAAAACTTTTGTATTGATATGTTAGGGCCTAATTTTCCTATCCAAGGGTTCCGGATGGGTGCCATCACGGGTCAACTTTCATACTCTGTTATCGTTGATAATCTTACAATTTAGAGTACATGGTTTTCCCGATTCCATTATGGCATTGCAAGGTACACTGCTGTGTAATCAAGCCTGCCCGAAGTAATTTTTTCCTTCTTTATTTTCTCAGTCGGATCATGACTTCCTCCATGGTCATATCACATTTTTAATTTCTGTAGGCCTAGGCCTACATGTTTTTGTTTGCCCTTTTGGTAGATCCATACCAGAGAGATCCAGTTGTTGTAGGTAGGTCTTGTTCCTATTTCTGTGCACCAGACTGGTGCAAGGAAGTAGACAAAAATCTGTCTATAGCAACTGCCTTCAGTCAAATTTTAGCCAACTACATGTAGTAACATCATTGAGAAGCACAGAGTTTGCGCTGCAAATGACAAATTGTTTGAAAAGTAGAGTAAGCTTATTGTTCTTCATCTACATGTAGTCAGCGTACTCTGTCCTGTGTGTATTCTTGGACCCTTGGCTTTCCTAATGTAGGCCCCCTACCTTAACGATATTTCAAGGTCGTCAGACATTCTCTTATTTATACTTTTTGCCAGTGACTCGACGTTGACATTTTAATCAGTACTGTGAATCAGGAGCTTACATGTATGTCTGGTTATAACTGGATTAAATTTATCAGGCTGTCACTGAACATCAATAAAACTAATTGTATTTGTATATGTAATAAAACTAATTGTATTTAGTAATGTTCATTTAACAGCTTATATTGATTCTGAGAAAGTAGTGAAACCAACTGCACTAAATTTCTAGGTTTATGCATCGATAATAAACTGTCGTGGAAGTCCTATTGATTCCTTATGTGATATAGTGGCTAAAAATATTGGTATGATAAATAGGCTTAACACTTTTTATAATCCCCTCACCCGAACAAATCTCTCTCTTAAAACGGTTAAATATCAGGGCCCAAAGCTATGGAATTCCTTCAATTCATCCCTTCATAGCTCAAACAGCACCAATATTTTCAAAACCAATTAAAAAGACGTCCTTATCGCTGTATATCAAATACCTTAGCTTCACCTATGTTTCCAATAATGTCTCCTTATTACATGTATCTCCTATGTTTCATAGCTACCAGAGTTGTCACATTTTATTCCACTTCCATTCCAGTCCTCAGTCATAAATCCATTGATCTTTATTTTCCATATGCATTGTAACTTTAGTGGCCTTGAAATCTAATTTTGATATCCTTTTCATCCTTCGCTGCTGGTTTCTGTGCTTGTCCTTAGTTAAGTGTTCTTTTTTGTTTTATTATCAGTAAAATCACTTTGTTTTGTATATTACAAGGGGTCCCAAACTTATCAAGCTTCGCTTCCTATTAGGTCCTTCCACTTTCTGCAGTCACCATTATTTATTATGTATAGTTGGGACAAAAAGTTTACATTCACCTGGTAGAACAAAAACAGTTTTTCTCAAATTTCACAACTTTACACATTTCTACCAACTTTTTTTTCATGAGGACAGACAAGATTGGTCTCTACTTAATGTACATGGTGTATGCATCAAATAACACCCAGAGACATATGTATAATTCATATTCATGTTTTTGAACGGCAATAAGGGGCTAAATGTAAATTTTCACAATGTGTTTTTCAGAATTATTAATATTTTGAACCATAATACCTGTAAATGTCTCTGAGTGTTTTCAATAAACCTTTTCGACCTTCGCAATGCATTATGGGTGTGGATGACAAACAAGCAATGCATTTTATGCACAACCCTATGGGGGAAGTGAACCAGTCAAAAATCAAGTTACAGTTTTCTACTAAATATTCTTATGTATCTGTTCATCAACTCACAGAGTATACAAGAAAATTTTTCAAATACATTTTCAAATATTTGTTAGAACAAATCAACCTTAATTGCCTTTTTTAAGGGCACCAATCCCTCTACAGGCTGAAAATGAACGTGACTGGTCAAAGCAAGATGAATGAGCTGCAAGTCATAATTTTGATTGGACAATACTAGAACATTAATATTCACGAATAAGTCAAAGCACGATCCGTGACAAAACGTGGTGTTGTAGGAAGGAATTCTCCTTCTCTGCCAAGCTTTAAACTCCAAAGTTTGTGAATATCTTCGTCCCAAATCAATAATGCAACACTTTGTCAGAAAGGGATGGCTTGAATGGGAGAATGAAATAAAATGGAAACAGATTAACATTTTGCAGGTACACTTCTCCCATAGGGTTGTGCATAAAATGCATTGCGTGTGTGTCATCCAAACCCACAATGCATTGCGAACGTCGAAAAGGTTTATTGAAGTGCACGCTATGAACTTAAAGTTGAGACACAATTTGTCTGACCTCATAAATAAGAAGTTAGTAATAAAGAAGAATAATAGATCTATTTGAAATAGAGAAATATTGACAAAAACTTTTTTTTTTCAAAGTGTAGGTAAACTTTCTGCCCTGACTGTGCCTGTATATGAACTAGTTCTTCTGAAGTGGAAATAATAGGTGGAAAGGCTTGCGGTAGCACCATGCGAAGGAATATACCTGTTATGAGTATGTGAGATGGACTGAGCATGCAGTCCAAAATGTTGAGTATACTCTCAGTCCAAAATGTTGAGTATACTCCCAGTTCTTTTCAGAACCACACATACTCATAACAGATATATTCCTTCGCATGTTGCTACTGCAAACCTTTCCTCCTATTGCTGTCTTTCACCATGAATAGCCTGAAATTCCAAGTGGAAATAGATTAAAATATAAGCATTGAAGACACTTCATGATTGTGTTGTACTGTTATTCACTTCTTTTCACACACCCTCTCACTACTACCGTACTATATGCTGACGAAGCAAGTTGATCATGTTTAGATATTCATACACATATTCTGGATTGCTTCTACAGAAAAAGAAAGGATGGACATGAAATGCCTCCAGACCATTGAACCCCATAACTCCAATGACATATGAAGGTTTGAATGGTGGGTATATTCATGGTGGGTATATGCATGGTACAGTACATGTAAGTGGTTTGTGGTGACACCATGTACAGGTATACATGTAGCGTGAAAGATTGATCTCTTCATTTGAAGCAAGATATGGGACGGAGAGAACCTCCCGGCTTTTGTGTTGGTCATTGTTTGATCAGAATCTCAGGGATTCTTTAAAGACTTCTAGGGGGGTGTGTCAGGTAACAATAGTCTAAAGTGTGTATAGGGATTGGCCAGGTAAGGGGGTACCCCTCCGTCCCTTATCTTGCCTGATATAGATCTCTTTGTGAGAATGTGTGGTGCCAAAAGGAGCCAGTTTACTCAATGTTTCAGACATGTTTTCGCCTTACGGGTCTCCTATACCAATGGCACCACTTCCGACACTGTTACACCTCAGTGAACATCCATCAGTCTGCCACTCCACCACACCCCAGTGTGCATGTAGCTTGGCTTCAGTTTTTATGGATCAACAAACACCAGTTGGAATCCAGCAGTCTCCTGGCAACGGATAGAGCACACTGTCTGAAACATTGAATAAACCGGCTCCTTTTGGAGCCTCACATACTCACAAAAGAGATTGACCTTTCAGGTAACCAATTGTTGTGTAGTTAATTTACCCCTGGTGGGGTCTGTTACCCTCCATTGTATTTGCTCTTTGGTCTTTCCTGTGCCACACCCTTTTGTTCCCATGGCTTTTCAAACTGTTCCCATTATTGCCCCACCCCTTTATCCAGCCATCAGCTTTCTGTTTCGACCCTCCCTTTCGTCCTCTCCTCAATTCATCCGTACTGGATGATTCAAACCAAAGGTTTTCAATTCATGCACAAAATAAACAGCGGTAAAGTTCAATCACATTGATAATTCACAATTTCAATTTTAAAAGGGTAACAGAAATAGAAAACATTTAGTTCATGTGAAGTATTTTAAAATAACACTAAGTACGTAACCATGTCAAAAACATCTTAAATTTAATGTTCACCGCATTAATTGTGACCCCAAAATGAATAAAAAGATCCTGCATTTCTCCGCCCAGGCCGAATCTGTGTGGAATGAAATAGTGATCACATGGAGGACTATGGGTGAAGTAAATGATATTTTTTGAAGCACATACCATACTTGCTTTTCTGGACTTTTGATCCAATTCTGAACAAAGCAAGTGGTTGCGCAAGCCAAGTTTTAAGCGATTTAGGAAAATAGCTCCTGGTCACTCAGGCATGAAAATCTGTTCATGATCATAAGTTTAATGTCAGCATGATACTCTAATCAACCCATGTAGGAGAAGAGATTTTCAAAAAATGTTTACATTTTTATTTTGCAGTTAATTTTCTGACTATACTCTTTGATACACCCTGTAGATGCTCTGTAGTGTGATCTTAGAAATTCCTGGCTACTTTAGCCAGCTTTTTAAACAAATGCTTTAGCAAGCTATACATTTTCTTTTAGGTTTTGGAAAAAAGTGGGGGGGTAACAATTGATATAGGAACCCCCAACTTGGACAAGTGGAAGGGACATGGCCCCCCGTCCCCACCGATTGACGCCCATATTAGGACATACTGGTATATTGTACGCGTATGTGCAAGTTCACGTTCCACTGCTACAAAACCTGTACTGTTTGTACTTACATATCTCCAAATTTCAAATTAATGTCTTTGGATGATTGCTCAGATATGTACATGCACATGTATTGTATGTACATGCATACATATACATTAGGTTTGTAGGACTATTTCAGGCAAAAATACAGATATTCAGACAAACATATATAATATAGACAAAAACAATAATTTGTTGCGTATTTTATTAAAAAATTGGGGTGGGTAGGCAAACGTAGCCAAAATTATTTTAATAAGAATGTCTTATAAGCTGTTCAATTTTTATTCTTAGAAATGGTCATTTTAGGCAGACCCTCATCGTAGTTAGGGGGCTTTAGGGCAGTCTGTTTGGAATATATCAAATATTTGAATATTCAGTCATCAACCAAATATTCAGAGTGCTTTTTACCAGTTTGAGTATTCATAAAGAATAAAGAATGTTCAATTTCGAAAACTATTTGCCACTCTGATTTCTTGGTACATGTATATAGTGGCAAGATACAAGTGCAATTGGGACCTCCATGTGCCCTGTGCTTTTATAGGAGAGGTATTTTAATATGCAGCCGTTTGAATTAACCCACACCTGGCCTACTACCCACGCATAAAAAAGTAACTTCTATACCAAATTTGCTTGTAACCTTTAAAAAGAATATCATTTTCCTTGACTACATGTACATGTATACTGCACTATCAGATGCTTCATCTTGTCAATGGCAATTTTTTCCATTCATTATCATTTCATTATTCCCATCCTTATGGTTAGTTTATAAACTGAAGCCCTTGATCCACAAATTTTGAATATTCACATACACAGTCAAACACAGTTTCAAATGTTCATTACCAAATTATTCAAAAATGAAAAGCCCCAAGGGCCTCTCTATTTTTCTTTTTTTTAAATGCATATGGGATCGATACACTCTACCTATGAGGAAATAGTGTTCAAACAACAGTGGCCCATTTCATCAAGAAATTAAAAAACTTAAAATTCTCATTCCTTTTGTAAAGGGAGCTCTCTTAAGCTTTATTGACATGTAAATCTGAAAATATGTCTATGCATCTTGTAAATACATGTAATACAGTATTGTTAGAGTTTAGCATAAACATATTTCATGATGGACACATTTTGTTAGCTTATGTAGGTGTTGTGGTTTCCTCAGCAATCTCAGAACTTCAGGTTTTTTTGAGAACTTTGTTGCCATATGTATATTTGAACTAGGCATACTTTTCCATGTGTTTTGTACCTGTGTACATTTAGACGCTAATTCTGAAGTCACATGTCTTGCTTTGATTAGTTAATACTTATTTTTTAAATCACTTCAAAAAATCACAAATCATTTGAAAATTCATGCTTAAGAAACCTTAAAATTCCGTTTGGTATTTGAAAGAAAGGAATGGCTGAATTCAATATACTGATGCCTTTAAAACATTTCCACACAACCAGCATTGGGTCATTTTGTGTAAAATGTTACTCTTTACACTTACTTGACATTTATATGTACATGTGTACCTGATGTACACCACTGTCCCATTTTGTATGACAGCATGTAGGCCCATGTACATGCATGTATGGAATTCAGTAGCCATTGTGTTTACATGCATTTAGATAAAACAGTATTGCCAAATACACCGGTATCATAGAAGGCAGTATGGAGGGATCCCAATACGACGCTTTTAGCGTCAATTTTCGCATTTCCGCATTTGAAAACGAGGCTGTATCTGTCAGTTTCAATTCTTAATACGATCAGATGATTGAAAGTAAGGAGTCAAGACACAACATACATAAAGGTATGTTAAATTCAGACTTTTCAGGCTGCAAATTTTTGTGGAAGAGTCGTTCAGGATGACTTGACACGTAAAATCCAAAGAAAAAATAACGACAATTTACCGCAAACTAACGTACCTGCGATGGTCGTGTATCTTATGCAGTGGACGTGGTTTAAACTGAAGTTATGTCACACTTACGAACAGGATACTGCATGTACTGTGTTGACTCCGCGGGCGCGCACAATGAAGTTCAACACAGAGAGCCTCGACTTCGATGCGGATATGTGCAGATGGTGCTTATGTGAAATCCCTCTATTGCCAAATGTCATGAAAATTGGAACACTAAAAATGCGTACGTTGCATAAGACATGTCATGTGCTAGAAAGTACAGTGTACAAGAGTTTGATCCCAATTGATGAAGCAAAGACACTGATTTTTTGCATTAACAGTTTATTCATACCAAGAGTTTGTGTATTTCAGCCTACAGGTACATGTAACTGGACTTAGCAAACTTGTGTGTTTGATTAGAAATAAACAGTTCAACATATGATAAACTTAATTTTAGCAGTCAGCAACTGAGGTCTTTTAATCACCACAGGTAAATTGTGTATTTTCTCAAGTATCTGAGCCTATTATACATGTAGTGTGGACTCAATATGCTTCCAGGCTCTTACAAGTTGTTGTAATAAAGAGACGAAGGACTAGCGTTAGAGTGACCTTTGTTGCTTCTTTTATCTCTGAACTCATGAAATAATACAGTATGTGGCAGTATTCAACAACTGTGTTGGTTAACCTGTAAATAAACAATGAGAAATGTGCACTCATTAATACAATGCACAAGTGAAGTAAGAGTTTCAAGCTGTCGATTATAAACCACCTCAGGATCTGCACTTATCCGTGTCACTTCACCAGGAAATGTAAGTTGAGACAAAGCTTAAAAAAATGTAACAAAAATACATGTGTAAGCAAAAATACAAGTATCAGTTATCAGCCACTTCTAAGTATTAAATCTATAAATTTAAACCAAAGAAAGAGGCATGAGGCCTGATAAAAAAGGACTCGACTAGAGAGAGTAAACATTAACTGCGATTCTCAAAACTAGGAAAAACTATATCTTCCAGTTTAAAAATGGTGCGCAACCGCCAAAGCACAATTTTCAGGGGAACGCCTGCAAAGAGACTACACTAAGGCAAATCACCCACCAAAATATCACGCTGCCGCAGATCGCGAGCATGTGCTGCCGACATGGTCTGTCTCAACTTAATCCTCCGTGCCAAACTAAACAAAAATAGTTCCTGCAAGGAACCAACTACATGTAACCATTATCACTCTCCCATATGGGATGATAACAAACTGCATGAATCTACAACTTCTAATCAAAGGCCAGTAACATAGAAAACCCAAGATAGTGTGTACAAACACTGGCGAAGCTCAACGTAAAAGGGCAGAAAGAAGTCACGAACCCCCCCCTAAGGCCATCATAACAAATACCTAAGGGCAAGGAAAAATAAAGGGGTGAAATAACATACCTTCTGACACTGGTTGTAACATGTAAGAGAAATAAACGGTTCTGGAAGTCACAAAGAGCGACACATTACGAGACGAAACTCGGTAGCAAACTGCTGTGAAAAACGTGAACTAGAAACTCGTGTATGGAGCTAGTCTCCAATCAAGCTGCAAGGGGCTAATAAGAAGTGTCGGACATTTAAGTCATGACATGTAGCTTGTTTTGCTTATGAGTATCTAAATCTGAGCTCTTAATTTTTCCTTTGAAAGTGGTATTTCCATCAATTTTGTGTTGATTGCATGATCTCTGGTGTCATCATTCCTGGATAACATTCAACACAATAAGGGTAGATTTTAAAGCCTCCCAATTGTCACAGATAAGTAATATGCCAAGGATTTTTGGAGGACTGCTTTGACAAATATTCAGCATCTGCACAAGCAATTCGAATTGAGGAAAGCAATGGATAAGCCTTGCCCACTGCTTGTGTTGCATTTGCTGTCTAAGCCTACATTTTGCTCAGTCACGTTGCTGTTGCTGAACCACTACCAGGTTTGGGACCACACCCCTGCAACACACACGGGTTTTGTGCCGTCATCCTCATTTTATTGACAAAAAAATTATAGTTACTAATAGTAACTATATTACTATTACTATTGTAGGAATCAAATCTCACTTTCACAATAAGAATCCAATATCTGTTTTGCACTTTTTCTGGGACACATTAAAAATTGTAGACATGGCAAAGAGGCATTCATGTAGGTTGCCGTCTTTCTAATTCTATCCTCCCTGCTTTTTTCTAGAAGTTTCACATGTGCACACACCAGCTAAGAGTAAGATTTTTGGTTTTGCATCTTAATGTCCAGTAAGGTGTATTAGCTGTACATCCTCAAAACTCCTCATTTCAATACATTGTAGGCAAAACAAAGCCAGCTTACATGTATCATCATGCATGCCTGTTGTGCCATTCTCCCTGTTACATCATCAGACCAACACAAACACAAAATTTGACTACGTTTCCAAAATCGGCCCAGTTGGTTGTGGAAAGAAAATGCCTCATTTCTCTTGTGCTGATTTTTGGCCAATAAATTCATTATATATTGGTTTTGGGGTGTCCAATCTGTTTCCAAAACCTCAGATGTCGATATGTTTGGAGCCTTTTTGGTTCCTCTTGAAGACAGTACACTGCAGTGTACAGTGCACTGTACATGGTGGTGATGGTTTGCTGATGTACTTGTGTAAATGCACAGGCATTTTCTGTTGCTTTACTGCGCCTTCATGTATGTGTATGCAGGTATGTATGTTTTCATATACACACATACTGTACGTATGTGTGCATGTACAGTATGTATGTATTGTATATAGTTGTGGCTTTAACGTTTTGCTTTTCTTTTGTTTGTGCAGATTGTTTTGCTTTTCTCTTACAACTATGGCTTGTACACATGAGACGGATCAGAGTGAGCCACCAGTCTTTGCCATAAGTGACCTAGCTGACCTCAAGTAATTCTGGGAGTCAGAGTGTGGATCAACTCCTTCACATTCCAGCTACTGCCAGCAATCACAAGAAGAATCTGATTGTTCTCAGCCTGGCCTTCCTGTTCAACTTCACCGCTTACAGCGCGCTGCAGAATCTGCAGAGTAGCCTGCATGCAACAGCCGGGGTAGCCTCCCTGGCGGTCATCTATGGTGGGATCATCATCTCCAGTCTCTATGCGCCTGCCCTCATCCGAGCCATCGGCACAAAATGGGCCATCACAGTGTGCATCTTCTGTTATACCCTCTTTACTATCGCCAATTACTACCCGAGAGAGTACACTCTGATCCCAGCTGGCCTGATACTAGGACTGGCTGGTGCACCGCTGTGGATATCTCAAGGAACCTATCTCACAACCACAGCCACAAGCTACACTGACATTAAGAACAAAGTTCCAGAGAATGTCATCAATCAGTTTAATGGCATCTTTTTCTTCTTTTTCCAAGGGAGCCAAATCACTGGTAATCTTGTTGCTTCATTGGTCCTCTACCCAAGTAGCAATATGAGTACCTTCAATAATGTCAGTCTGTGTGGGAAACACTCCTGTGGATTTAGCAATGAGTCAGATGAATACAATGGTTCACACATTGCACATGGAACTATTGTAACTCTGATATCGGTGTACCTGGCCTGTGGGCTCTTAAGCTGTCTCCTTGTTGGCCTGTTTCTCAGCAAGCTACATGCTGCCAATGCTGGCATCATCCAGAGTCTTCGGAGCAATCGTTTGTCTTTGGTGATTTTACCAAAGTAAATACATGTATATCAGTAGTAGTCTAATGCATTTGCACCACAATAGACTCCTACATGTATGTGCCCTCTGAAACTTGAGGTGCATGTGCATGTGGCCAAATCAGGACACCCTATTGGTGGAAGAGACATGTACGTGTGTAACAGGTAAGTACCACCTACTTGTATGCGCAAGCAGGGTGCTACTGCAGTAATTCTTGTCACTTGATCATTCTTTGTGATCATACAGTACTTATGCATGGGCTTCTTGAACAATTACATGTAATCCTGGCTAAAGATGACATTTGGCCAACCATTTAAACAGGGTGGCTGTGAATTACCCACGGAGATTGTGAACATGGTGCAACAAGTAAAAATTGGCCATGTTCTCTATGTATGCTTTTTTGAACCTTATTGTGTATGGGGTATCTGCTCATTGGGACATTATTTATTTGTGAACTTTTTGTTTGGCAGCCAGAGATGAAATGACTGAAAGAGTAGTGATTTTATTGGCAAAAGAATGAATAGAGAACTTAAGCGTGACATCACTGTGAACCAGAAAGTGCAGTGCAAACCAATGGAATACGCGCGCTGAAGTGTGATGTCATTGTGAACCAGAAAGTGCAGTGGAAACCAATGGAGTACGAGCGCCCAAGTGTGCTGTCACTGTAAACCAGAAAGTGCAGTGCAAACCAATCGAGTACGCGCGCTGAAGTGTGACGTCACTGTGAACCAGAAAGTGCAGTGGAAACCAATGGAGTACGCGCGCTGAAGTGTGATGTCATTGTGAACCAGAAAGTGCAGTGCAAACCAATGGAATACGCGCGCTGAAGTGTGATGTCATTGTGAACCAGAAAGTGCAGTGCAAACCAATGGAATACGAGCGCCGAAGTGTGATGTCATTGTGAACCAGAAAGTGCAGTGCAAACCAATGGAATACGCGCGCTGAAGTGTGATGTCATTGTGAACCAGAAAGTGCAGTGCAAACCAATGGAATACGCGCGCTGAAGTGTGACGTCATTGTGAACCAGAAAGTGCAGTGCAAACCAATGGAATACGCGTGCTGAAGTGTGATGTCACTGTGAACCAGAAAGTGCAGTGCAAACCAATGGAGTATGCGCTCGTGTTGGTTCATACGCTGGTTCTCGCACTTATGCCTTTTAAACACGAATTGTGCGTGTGACGTATTTACACAGTACTCTATACCACAAGAATGTAAGACCCTATAGTCTGCTTTAATGACTGAAATAGGTTCAAGGTTATTTATGAACAACATCTACATTGCACTAATAGGATATTTCGTATTTGTTCCTAGGCTTTCATCACTTGCACCAATGGCATTCACTATGTTGGATTTGTCATGATGGTCTTTGGTATCAGTGATGCCATCTGTTCTTTCCTCCTTGGTCGTCTGGAGAAGTACTCCGGTCGTATCACCATCTTCACCGCTGGTGGATTAACCCACATGACCATCATTCTAATGCTGATGTTTGTCTGGACTCCCGAGAGCAACGGACCTCAGTTGTGGGATCGGTTTGTCCTTGCAGCATTTTGGGGATTTGGTGATGCTGTATGGCAGACACAGATATCATGTAAGTATCTGGAGTAAAGATGCACTCAGGGGATGCACAAATTTCATGTGTATCACCAAATGAAAAAAAAAAAAATTTTTTCTTCTTTTACAACAGTCTGATCCACTTTGGTTGAGAAGTTGCAACAACCAAGTTTATTACATTTATATTGACTTCAGAAGTATGGATTTAAATAAGTTTTCTTTAACATGTGCACATTTTATTGGGATTTTTGCATGACCCTTACGTATCAAGTACATGTATGTTTGTAATCTTGCTTAAGGGGTTCATCATCATGCATGAAAACCATGTTTGTTTTTGAGAAGGCGCTTAGGACAAGCACATTTCATTTAAAACATTTTGCTTCCTTTAACAAACCCAGAATTATTACCATCTTTTGAAATAAATCCCCTTCAAAAACCAGTGAGTCCAAAAATTCATGTACATGTACCTGCAACTTGTAGTCTGCTTATTCAATTCACATTATGCAACAGAATGAGAGTAGTAAGTCAAGGAACTGTTAACTAGTCCAGGCTATTGAAACACACGGCCAATTCAGTTAAGTACTGTGGCTTGACTGATTGCTTTGTGTTTGTCAACTATGTTCTGATGTTCATTTGAACTATGCACATGATGCAGATTTGAGGCAAAGATCCTGTACATGTGCATGTTGTATTGGAGCAATGAGCAACTCACCAAAGTGAGTAGGAGTATGGCTAATCACTGCCCTTTATTAAATTATATATGAACAGTTAGATGTGTACTTGTATGTACAGTTACCTGTATTTTTTGTACAGCATTTTTGCCACTATTAATGTGATATCAGAATATATGCTGCTATATTACCATTCTTAGTTATGAAAAAACACAGTAATGGCAACTGCATTTTTATGACCTTGCAGCAGCCACATTATCTGTTTGTTCGGTGGATATGTTGCCCTTCTAGTTATATTTTAATATGACAAGGAATTAAAGGAAGCCATTTTAAATTCCATGTACATGTACAACATCAAAAATTGGACAGCAGGCGATAAATGGCTAAGCCAAAGGGAACAGCCCCAATCAGTTTTAAATGAGCAAGTTTAAAACAAATTTGTTATCCCAATTATATATTTTTGGTGAAAAACATTTTAGAAAGATTTCATTGGACCTTTTGGCATTGTATTACTCTCTAAGTTCAGGGCAATTTCTCAAGCTACATTGTTTTGTTTTTGCTTCTTTGCATACATGTATGGGAACAACATCAGATTACGGAGCTCTGGATGTGCCATCCGGCTTGTTGAAACCCTGACATATTTTTTCTCGGAATAATGACATCATACAGGCAAGATGTTGATATCCTGAGAAAATTTATCATGGAATGTTTATAAAACATCACAATATCTCACTGCTTGTTGCAAGTGGTGAAGTAGATATAACACTTGCTGGATGTCTTTGGATGATGACACCTTGAGATAATGATTATGTCTGGATGTTGTCATCCATT